TCTTCTCCGTTGCTGCTCTGTTTCTGCGAACTAGCAGGGCTAGTGCTAGCGCTTGCTTCTTAGCACGGGTCAGATACATATTTGCTGCTGACCAAAAGCTGGAACAACAAACAAATGACTAGACCCGGCAACCCAGCCGGCGCAGCGCAAATGCGCTGAACCCCGCGGCCAGCGCAGCGCAAATCGCTTCCTATCTGAAAGGCCCATAAGGCCTTCATGCATGGGTCGTTCGCACTAACCACTGCTCCACCCGCACACCCTGGTTTTCCACCTTACTAGATTATAAATCCAATCTCAAATTGGTTAGATTCCATTTGTCCGTAAGGGTCTACGGATAAAATGTAATCCAGCATATTTGTAATAAAAACAATCTGTGATGCGAAAGTCGCCACATAAAATCCGTTTTTTACCATCAGAAAAGTTCAACCCTCATAGCTAATGCTAACCGTCTTGCTAATTACGTTTGTGGGGATTCTTTTCTGCCATTGATGCTCCAGTTTACACAAAAGAGTGAGGAAATGGCCCAAAAAAAGCAGGAGCAGCAGCAGACAAGCGTAAGAGTACTTCTTCGTGTTACGGCTTAATGGTGGACCACTAGCCAAACAGCGTATGATTTTCACTTGGAGCCTACGTAAATAACATCATGGCAGCACATATGCAAAATGTTTGATTGCCAAACAAGAAGCCAATCCACTTTCGATAGTTGCTGATTGAAAGCGGATGGAACAGAGCTTAAATTCTTTGATTGTTTCCACGCTTAACGGCCAATAAAGCTGATTTCAATCTTTTCAAAAGTAGATATTATTCACATCCTGTAAGCTTTTTTCAAACTGCTAAAGAAATGTATTTCATAGGGTAGATCTTTGAGAGAAAAAACTTCCAGCCTTTTTTTGCAGATACACATTTGACTTTCCCTAGAATCCTCTAGAAATGTAAATTATTTATCTCTTATATGTTTTCTGTAAGTAAATAAAAAAAAGGCTTATTAAGCTGATAAGAACTTTATTTCCTTCTGAAATGATGACCAGCCCTTGTTCTGGTCTTCTAGCACAGAGACCGGCCTGGGCTGAGGAACCAGGCCGTCTTTCTGCTCCATCCAGAAGGGATGAAGCCCGGAGAGAAACTGCTGGTGAAGCTCCTCCAAACAGACGACCTGATGATGATCAAGAACAATTTGGTGGAGCCCAAGAGGAAGAGAAGGTTCCCAGGAAACAGTGCTCCACTGGACCGGCTATCAATGGGCTCCATGGAGAACAGGCAGGGGAAGAAGAAGCAGAGGTAGGAGAGACCGTTCTCTGGAGGAGAACCTCGGCTTGTCCTAAAGTTCTGTCTTTCCTTACCAGTAAGGTGGTCGAATCGCAGCGACGACGTGAAAACCCTCCTCCCATTGACCGGGTCGGAATGAGTCGTCTACCAACAACAAGAGGATAGCTTTCTCCTTTCCACAGAGAGCCCCTCTTTTCTAAAGGACTCCCTCTTCTGGACTGGTGAGGAACTGCAAGTCGGTCAATAAATGCTTAAAAAAATTTTTAAATCACAGGAACTCCTCTTTTTTCTCTCCCCAATGAGGTCACTACAGATGATTATTACAGCCAATCACCTGCTGAGCCACACCTGTGACTCTCCAACACACCTGGACATGCCAAGCCCTTTATTAAATGATGCATTCAGGTGCAGCTCAGAGAATCTGGACCAAAAAAACATGTCTTAAGGAGAAATAAAACATATTTATGCAAAACAGACTTAATCCAAGACTTTAAAATACAGAAAAGTAAGTTTCTTCCTAAATAAAGAGCATTGGAAAAGATTAATTCATTAATGTAAATAAATGCAACTTCCTGTCCTCTCGAAATAAGTTCAAACAACAAACCCGGCAGTTATTACTCTAACTTTAAATCTTCTCTTATAGTTTAGTAAAGCATAAGTAAAAAAAAAAAAATCTTATTCAAGCAAAAAGATACAAAAAAACTCTCTAAATATTGAATTAAATGCTAGAGCAAAAGATTCAATTCCAGAACAGAATGAGAGGATCAATCAATTAAACCCTTGAAATGGTTACCTATCTGAATTAATAGCTAAAAATGTGTAAATACAATAAAAAAATGTCATCCATTGATCAATCTATCCATACATCCATCCCTGCTTCCATCCATCCATTTATTATTCATGCATATGGTGGAAGTTTTGTTCAAATTATGTGTTTTATTGTTTTTCTCAAAAGCTCCTATTGGAGCACTAAAGAGAGAAACATCACATTTCTTTGTGCAAGAACCCTCTATCACCCTTATGAACAAATCTGAAATATTCTAAGATAATCTTAGTTATTTTTAATTAATTATCATTTTAAATTCACACCCATCCTCCAATATTTCGTATTGTAGGCCCACTTAATGATTTTATTTTTAAAAATTACACGAACTTCACCTGAATGCACCATATCTGGATCCCCTACTGGCTCCTGACTGGAGGTGACAGGCACCTCGACTCCAACCGCCTGACCTGACAGGAGGTTCCTGCTGTTTTGTTCGTTTTGTTGATGTTTTTGTTGTTGTTTTTTGTTTGTTTGTTTTAGCAACAATGCAGTGAGATCTTTCTACTGCAGCACTAGAAAAGTCAGAAACAAACCACTAATGAAAGTTTATCTGTTTAGCAGAAGACATTAAATCATAATTCACTTATCCTCCTTTTAAACACTTTATCCTAGCAGACATTTAAATATTAAGCCACACATTATATTTCTAAAATTCATCAGTGAAGAAAAGGGCAATACGTTTTATTTGATGAAGAAAAAACTTTTAATAATGAGGTTTTCATGTTGAAAGTAAAAATGTACATACATTTTGAATGTTATCAAGAGCAATGCAGTGTGAGTTTTATCCACTAGAGGCGCTAGACCAGTAACTTCCAGCAGTTAGCATTGTCATTACCCGAACCGTACCGGAAGCACGATCCGTCCCATCAGCTTGTTTGCTCGTGCGCAAATAG